GGGGGGGGGGGAGGGTGAGTGCGCAAGTAAGTGCTCCAGGTTCGTCATGTATTTGCACTAGACAACAGTGAGCCCTCCTTCCAGTCGTCAGTGGACTTCTGAGTGCTCTTTCTGGCCCCTGGCTGCGTGCATCTCAAGCAGGAACCCATGAATCTAGTGCGCACTGCTGGAAGGCGGTCAGCAGCAGCTCTCGCCGCTCCAGCTTGCCCAGAAACACAGTGGCTGCGTGCAGCAAGTGCAGTTGCCATGGTTGAGACACGCGAGTCAGGATCAGGACAGCAGACTAGACACACATCAGAGTTGCCCCAATCGTACAAGGAGCCAGCCTTAGGCCAAACTGCCCCACCGCCTCCTTCCGGTCTCAGGTTGTCAGCCCGCTGTCACCTGTGAGGAACTCATCAAAGTCCAGGGTGTTGGAGCCATCCAGGTCAACGCTGGCCATAAGTCGCTGCACCTCGGTCTCGGCGATGTGTGCACCCTTGCGTCGGAGGCCTTGAATGGGAATGGTGCGGCAAAACAAAATTGCACATTTACTGGCAGGAAGGTTTGCAGAGCAATGTAGTGTGGTCCATCCCAGCCTGCATGGGTTCAGGCTTTCCCTGGTCACTAGGCTGCCGCTTGTTTCCCCTCTGCACCACTCATTACATTCCGTGCTCCACTCTCCCCCCCCAAATGCCTACCCTCCCGCAGCTCCTCGAGGCTGATGGTGCCGCTGCCGTCGTCATCCATCTCACAGAACATGCGGCGGATGCCCTCAATCTCCTCAGGGGGAAGGCTGGTAGCAATGACCTGCAGTTGGCCGCAGTCGGCAACAAGCGCAAGAGCAAGAATCTGGTTGCGAGTGTGATTGCCGCTGTGCTAGTTGGCGGCACATCTGTTTGTGTAGGCTTGCACTGGTCCCCCACCAACAGCCAGATACAAGTCAGATATACAGCGCACGCACTGCCATCCTCGCCCCAGCACGCAAACCGACTACCGCCCCAAATAACCGTTCCCTCGCACCCACCCTGAGGGCCTCCTTTTTGAGGCGATTCATGCCGGCAAAGCGCTTCATGCGTTTGAGGATCTCGGGCTGCAGCTCGCGGCCGTCCTGTGAGGCGCCCTGCTCGCGCATCCACTCGTGCTGCAGAATTTCGGTGGCGGTGGCGCGACGCCGAGGGTCTCGCACCAGCATGCGACGTACACAGTCTTTGGCTGCTGGGCTGATTGTGTCCCAGGGTGGGCTGGCCAGGTCAAGGGCATCGTGCAGCACGGCGCGGAATATCTGCTGCGTGCTGGAGCCATAGAAGGGTGGTGAGCCGCACAGCAGGATGTAGGTGATCACGCCGCAAGACCAGATGTCAGCTGCCTTGCCGTACCTGGCAAGCACGGTCATGGGATGACGAGTGGGGCGAGGTGGGGGTGCAGGGGCACAGAGGCCAGAGGCCTGGCAGTTTCTTGGCCAGTAGGTGGGTGCAATGCTGTGTGCACCAATGATTGGGCATGGTAGGTGTGACCAGGGCTTGTTTGTACACAAAGGCAGGCGCATACGGCATGCCTGTGTTGCATTTGACCTATGACCTCTAGCATCCAATTGCCAGAGCCGCCAGATAAACGGCAGTGCCGGCATGGTCACCGTTCTCACCCGCGCCGCAGCACCTCAGGCGCCATGTAAAATGGCGACCCCACCAGATCGTGCAGCACCTGGCCCTCCTGTGCACAATCAGCAGCCATGTCCAATACAACACAGGATGGGGACCGGGAGGCAACGCCATTGGGGAGGAAACATATGCAGCAACTGCAAAGCAGCCACAAGCAGCAGTACTGGCGATTTGAGAACCAATACCGCATACGGCCACATGAGGGGGCCAGAGCGCACAGTGTAAAATGCCGAGAGGCCAAAATCGATGGCCTTGATGTGACGCCGCCCTGTCTCACGGAAAAGGAAGTTCTCAGGCTGCGTGATGTAGATGCGCAGATGCACAGCACAGCAATTGGAGGGGCATCAGTTTTCCTCTTTGCAATTTATGCTGGGGTTGGCTTATGTACTAGTGCAGTCAGGATACCATGACGATTTCGAACAAATCAGAGCCTCCTGTTTACACGCATCCTGCAACCCCGGCCCATCTCCCCTCCCCTGACCATTGAGCTTGCTCACCTTGAGATCTCTGTGCACGACGTTCATGTTGTGGCAGTGCTCCACGACCATCAGCACACTGCGCATCAGGTGCGCGGCGTCCCTCTCGCGGTAGTGGCCCTTGGCGGCGATGTGCTCAAACAGCTCGCCACCAGTGCACAATTCCATCACGATGTGCACGTGGCTCACGTCCTCGTACGCACCCTTGAATGCAACTACGTGAGGGTGGCCACTCAGATGGTGCATCACCTGAAGAAGGGGTTGAGGGTGAACGCGCAGAACTAAGGAGAATGCGGGAAGCGCTCTTTGTGCTGCGTGCCCCGGGCCCTGCTTCACTGCGCAAACGACGGCATCATTGCTGCATGTACCCAGCCTCGTGCTGCTGCACCTTGATTTCGCGCCGCACATCCTCTACGTCCTCAGGGTTGACCAGCTTGCGTTTCGATATGCTCTTGCAGGCGGCGCGCTCCCCGGTTGTGCGGTGGACCACCAGTCGCGTCACACCAAACTGGCCGCGTCCCAGGACCTTGTCAAAAAAGTAGTGCTGGCGGATGTCATCCCACTGGCCCAGAACGCTCTTGAAATTTGAATCTGGCAGCCCAGCCCCCTCCTTCTGCAGCAACTGTTCCTTGCTCTGCTGCTGCTGCTTCGGCGGCGTCGGCTGCTGCTGCTGCCCGCCGTGGCGGTGCGCCTGCGGCACCACCTCCACAGAAACAGGTGCTGCAGCCCGTTGCTCGGGCCCCTCCTCAGGGGTCGAACAGAATGATCCCATGCTGCTGTGTCACCTTGTGCCGTTTGGTGCCGCCGCTTGGCGCGGCGGCACGCGCGTGACTGCGCGTGCTACGTCTGCAGGTTCAGGCGCTGTCTTGTCGGCTGAGTAAACCACGCGCCAGAAACGTTCGAATACCACTCTCTCGGACTGTACGGTAGATTAAACTCTGCTTTGCGCGACAGCAGCCTCGTGAAGCACAGAGAAAACACGACGACCTCATACTCGATCAACAAGCGTACGATAGGACGGTAATAAAACGTTAAACTCATGCCCACATGCGCGGGCGATCGCCTGGAAGACCAGCTGACTTAGGTCAAACATGGTGCACGCAGTCAGATTTCAAGTTTGTGAAACGCAGTCAACACGATGCATTCATGCAACTGTTGAAAACACTCACAAGCAGTGATTTTAGTATGAACTTAAGCTGAAACGTGGGCCTGTCCATGACAGGCGCCCTTGAGCATGCCTGCACCTACATCTCCTGTGGCCTACTCCAAACATGCAAGCACTGCACCGCTCTGCCGTGCTGGAGAGGCGCTACAAACCTACTCGCCGCATTACAGCAACAAAGACAAACTTTGACCACTGGCGCAGGCAAACAACATGTCTGAACATCATTCAGACCGAAGCGAAAAAATGGGGCTCATCACCGCAGGAGGTGCATGGGTCGTGGCTGCCATCGCTGCTCCTGGCTGGCTGCTGCCACTGCCCCCGCCGCTGCCGGTGCCCCCACTGCTGGTGAGGCCCCCAGCGCTGCTGCCTCTGCTCCCAGTACCAGCCGCTGAGTTGATCCCTGCAGACGGCTGGGTCTTCTCTACTGCCTTGAACACGCCAAACGCCTGGACATGATGGGGGTTTGAAGGGAATGCGGGTGTTGCGTCCTAGCACTGGCCTAGATAAAAGTGCCTCGGCACCGAAACCTGTGAAGCAGTGTCATGCATGAGACCTTCGAAGGTGTCGTGCACGTTTGCAATTCAGTCATGGGCTACAGAACCAGGCAGAATGCCATGATTGACAGCACAGAGCCAACCCACCTGCGCGATCATGGTGGCAGGCGAGTCGAGGCTGGCAGGCAGAAGGATGGTGTTGCCCTCCCTGGCCAGGCTGCGAAACGCATCTACATATGCCTCGGCCACACGGAGCTGTGCTGCAGAACCTCCCTGGCTGCTCTCCAGCGATGCCCCCACGGTGCGCAGCCCCTCTGCGGTAGCCTCCGACCTGGCAGGGGGCAATAGGGGACAACATGTTGGAGAAGGGTTGACGGGAAGCCTGGCCATCATCAAATGCCAGTTTTGCAAATGATGTGTCAGTGTCATAACGCCACCGGCTGCCCCGCCCACACGCCTCAATCAGCGTCTGTCGGCCACATGTGGTCGGCATACCTGCGCCGGATGGCCTGCGCCTCTGCCTCTGCCGCGAGAATGACCTGCTGCTTGTCTCCCTCTGCCACATTGATCTTGGCCTGCCGCTGTCCTTCGGATTCCAAGATGCTGGCGCGTTTGCGGCGCTCCGCCTCTGCCTGCAGAGCCATCTGCAAGGCGACGCGGCACAGGGAAGTGAGGCTGCGGATTTGGGTACTTGACAACACTTGCAGCAGCCCAGAGCGGCGATGATCCAGGAAATTAATCAAGTTCACTTCTGTTGCGCACTGACGGCCTCAGGAATCCACGCACAAGCTGAAAACTTACTGCGTTGACGATGCCTGTGGGCGGTGTTATGTCCTTGATTTCGTACCTGGAGGCCAAACATAGGGGTTTGCACTGCAGTTGTGAAGTTTCGATGAAGCCGCGGGCACACAAGGCAGCCTCGTTGTGTTCAATCAATCCTATGCGGATACATGGCCCCAACACCGCATGCCCAGCAGCCGAGAACACAGTGCATCACAATTGTCGTGTGTGACGCAACACAGCGCCCTTGACTACCTCATGCACTCCAGGCCCCAAGCTTCTGAGGCCTCGTTGATGGTGCGCACGATGGCTGCGTTCAGGGCCTCACGCTCCTCGAACGTCTGCATATTGTTGAGCGTTGAGTATGGATACGAGGTATGGTTGAAAGCGAGATGGCCACAAAAGTCATGGCCCATAACGTGGGCACTGTGTGCCACTTTCAACGTTTGTAACAGATTGCTGGGGCACAGGGTGATTGCTTTTACATCAACAAGCACACTGCCCACGGTCAATTATGCTGCTGCCCGAAACGTTGGATATCGCCACACCAAACCCTGAACCCCCTGCCCCACCTTGTCCAGTGTGATGCGGCCCAGCTCGCTGCGCATGGTGGTCTGCGCAAGCTGGCTGACTGCAAATAGAGCGGAGTCAACGCCGTACGAGGCCTTAAAGGGGTCCACCACTCGCACTGAGAGGCAGGGGGCGACAGGGTTGGGCCACAGAGAGGGGAGAGTGCGCATGTGCGACAGTGTGGAGGGACCCAGCGCAGCTTGGCAGCAGGGAAGGCCAAGGGGGGAGCGGTGACAACAGAAACGGATGGGAAATAAACTCGTCAGGGGCGGCGACATCGCGCCTGCTTGCCCGCTTGTGGCAACTGTGACAACTGTGCGCACTCGTCGTTCAAGAGCAATTATTTGAACTTGAGCACTTTGATCAGGTTCTCACCGTACAGGACGCCATCAATACTGATGGTCACATTGTCCTGGTAAATCAGGAAGGGGGTTTATATCAGATAGGACGCTGATGGCGACTAAGAATGTTGCTCTTGCAGGGTGCAGTGCTGAAAACTCCCCTGAAGCCCTGCCTTCTGCTGCAGGCCCCATGCCCACCTACCTTGGTGATGGCAGTCTGATGTGCGATTGCTGCGGGGGATTTGGGGACAAGCAACGGCTTGTATGGTTGGTTACTCTGCCAAGTGCAAAACCACAGCCACGTGACCAGCCACCCGGCTCTGTGCATAACCAGAGCAAGCTGTGGCGGCTATCAGAGTGCCGCGACCGCGTGGCTCACGTATAGGGAGCTCCTTGAGTGAATGGACGTAGGCTATGCGATCCACTGCTGGAATCAGGATGTGGAGCCCAGATCCGAGTACCTGCGCGCCACCAATTGCATACAAAGGGTGCAGCACCCAGCCCCGTGCTTGAACGCAGTCGAGCTGCACGCCCCAGCTTTGAAAGGCACAGGCCCTGCCTCACCTTGTGGAACCGCCCAAACCTGGTGGAGGAAAACAATGCAGCGGGTACACGATGACGTCAGGGCCGTGAGACTCGCAGGCATGGGACACACAAGGACTCATCCAAACAACACGCGCCTGCTCGTGCTGCCCTCCTTGGCGCTCACCGCTCGACCACTACTGCTGTGCGCTCCGGGACGATGGTGATACCCAGGTTCCTGGGAGCTCTGATTGGTGGAATGCCGCCACTGCCCACGCCGCTCCCAAAACGACCGGCAAACGCCACAGGATGGCTGGTGGTGAAGTGGCGGGGTAGCGGCAGGCGCTGCAGTGCTGCAACAGCCGCACCGCTACAAGCCTGCTGCAGCGCGTTGGCTGCGTATGGCTTAAGTAGCAAGGATGCAGCCAGCCTGGAAATCATGACTCCTCGTGCCGCACTCCCGGGATCACAGCGATCTGGTCACTCTCCGCTTCCACAATGTCTTCAAATAATCAAAGTCAGACGAAGTATAAGGTGATCCTCATCGGCCTAAACGCCTGTACGGTAGCGCGCTTAGCTTCATAGCTCTGACTACGGCCATCACAAGTTGCGTCCTCGTGTCTCACAGTCAGCACTCGATGCAGGCGCCCTCACGGCAAAGGGCAGTCCGATACACGCACCACGAGGAAGAGCAGCCGGCCCTAGAGCCCGCACAGTGAGCGCATGCCACATACAGTATCCCCTGCTGCAGCAATGCTCGGCTGCACTGTCGCTTGCGGCCCGTGTGGTCAAGCAGCCGCCCCCTGTTTTTGTTCATCGTGGTGCCGTGCGGTTCACCCGTGCAGGAGCAACACAGGAAGTGGCAATGGGGCGGGCAGCAGCGAGGAGGTCGAGGACAATGGGCCATCCCAGCCGAGCGCAACCAGCAGCACGCCAGCCGCCGTGGGCGGCAGCGACTTAGGCGAAGGGCCTGTCGGCTCTGTCGGCCGTGTTCTTAAGTCCGCGGCATGCTCAAGCATCTCAGCACTGCAGCAGCACAAACACACAGCGGGGGCTGCGGCAGCGGTGACGGCGCTCTTGGGGGCGGTGGTAGGGCTCGTTCTGGGCATAAAGCGGCGGAAGGTCTGCCGCTTGGGCAGCGCGGCGGGCTTGGGCAGCGCAGCGGGTGCACCGCAGGTGCGAGGCCCACGAATGGCGCGGAAGCTGGTGCCGGTGCCGGCCAACGGTGTTGCTAAAGGCAGGGGCGCCAAGGGCAGTGGGGCGGAGGGCTCAGGGGCTTCAGGTTCCAAACGTCGGCCGGCTGGCACAACCAAGCCCGCAACGCCGCAGCCAAAGCTGGGTCCCCTGGCCAAGCTGAAGCCAACGCCGAACTGCGTGCCCCTGGCGGACGGCAGCCTGGCTGTGGTGCGGCGGCCCATTGCAGCTGACCACAGCTGCCTGTTCAACAGGTGAGCCTGTGATGGGGCATACTAGCTGGCAGTGCATGCTGCGCGTGTTGATGTTTGCGCGTCTCTGCGAAGCTGCCATCACTGATTTAATGGTGAATAAAAGCAGTGGCGATGTCACTTGTTGGTGCACGTGTCATGTGTACATCGCTCCGATGCACAGCTGGTCTTTTCATTTCACCAGTCCCAACCACTTGCACGCGCCGTTGGACAGCGTGGGCTACGCCATGCACCACAGCAAGAGCCGTGCGCCCTTTCTGAGGCGAGTCGTGTCGAACGAGGTTAGCGGCGACCCTGAAACCTGGAGCGATGCTTTTCTGGGCATGTCCAACGCCGCCTACTGCACCTGGATCAACGAGCCAACCAACTGGGGTGGGGGCATCGAGCTGGCCATTCTGGCTGCCCACTACCGCCGTGAGATTGCGGCCTGGAACATTGAGTCTGGCGAGGCCCACGTGTTCGGAGAAGAGGCCGGTGGGTTGTGGAGTTGTGGGGTGCACGAATGCGGGGGATTGGGTTCTGAGACGGCGTTGGCGGTGAGCTGGCAATTCATGACAGATATGAGTTTGTGGAGGCAGGATGCTGGTGGTTGTCGTAATGGTGTGTCGTTGTGCTGACCCCCAGCTGTCTCTGCCTTTACGCATTCGCCTCTGTGTTGGCAACCTCAGGGTTCCCCAAGCAGGTAATGGTCATCTACAATGGGGTGCACTACGACGCCCTGGCCCTCACGGCAAAGCCCAACGCGTCTAGCTGGGAGGACGACATAACCGAATTCAACCCCCGCACCAAGAGGGGCAACATGATCCTTGAGGCCGCACGCACGCTGGTGGGTTGGGCGGCAATTGTCCAGGGCGGGGAAGCAGGCCCATAACCCCTGTACGATTTTGTTGTGGTGCCGAGGTGTGCACCAGCGGACCGTGAGGTAGTGTGGTTCGCTGCACAGGTGGCCTCAATCACTCCTACAACACTCCGCAGGTGAAGCTCAACAACAAGAACTTTGTGTCTCCCAGCAAAACACTCAAGGCGGCGGCGGTGGCCATGGCAGCGGCGGCCGCCTCGGCCGAGGGATCTGGTGGGGCGACTCAGCAGCAGCAGCAGCAGCAGCAGCAGCAGCAGCAGCAGCAGCAGCAGCAGCAGCAGCAGCAGCAGCAGCCGCAGGCGGAGAAAAGGAGGCAGAAGCCAAAGCAGCAGCAGCAGGAGCAGCAGCAGCAGCAGCAGCAGCTGCAGGAGCAGCAGCAGCAGCAGCAGACTCTAGGGCGGTTGCGGTGTTCCAGTTGTTCAATCGAGGTGGAGGGGCAGCAGGCCGCTGCGCAGCACGCACAGGCCACAGGGCACAGCCAATTTGCACAGGTGTAAGCTTTCAGCAGTGACTTGACTTGTCAGATGTTGGTGTATGGCACAAACAACGGCAGGTACAGCGCGTTTCACCATGTCAATTTCAACCTATTTGACGGGCCACTAGGGGTCGATGAGCGAAGCTGTACACACATGCACCAACCAGTTCATCGAGCATCCACGCACCACGAGTTGGCTCGTAACGAGCAACAATCCACAGTGGCGCCCGAATTGCATGAGCTGTGCTGCAGCATAAGCCGCTCACAGCACAAGCAGTGCATGTGTAGGAGCGGCGCCAGCAAGCGCGAAACCAAATAGGCGACAAAATCCATCTGCCACATTCACTCTTGATATCAGGCCGGCTCGACACGTCAGCCCCACTCCCAATGTCGGCCCCACTCCAAATGACGGCAAAGTCTTTTGCATCCACTTTGCCTTCTCCACAATGAGCGCGCCCTTTGCAAATACCCCGGCACACGAGCTAGTTACTATTGTCGCACACGACCTAGCACCAGCGGCTACTAGTTTAGCGTACACGGCCCCAGCCCACCTGTGCCACACTCAAACTCGTGTATCTGATGGCAGGGCCCAAGTGCACGCCAGATGGCTACAGCCTTAAAATTACCTTAGCAATATCGCTTCAAAATAAAGTTTTGGTGCCTGCGTCCATGCACCAGGAGCGGATTCAGCAAACCGCTCCGGAGCTCCTCGAAGCCACTTTAGCGCGCATCATTGCTATCCCAGTGGACCCATCCAGTTTTGAAGTGATTTGGATTCGCCGAACCACATATTCAACACCTTGTGACGCTCTCTTCGCTGTTCTGTGCAGCAATAAATTGAGCAGCCAATAGCGGGCTTTTGCAGGGCGTGCTACAACATCAACGTGCGAGATGGAATATTGAAACATACTCTTCGGTCCTGAAGCCGCGCCCCAGAGCGTCAGCCGCGCGCAGCCGTGGCGCAGCAGCAAGGATAGCTGCACTGGCGCCACCGCCTCTCTTGCCAGGTTGATGCTCCTCAGCCTAGCACCAACATAATCAAGTCGTGGAAATGGAGCAGTGGCCTGATGACAAGAACTGGCCTAAGGTATGTAGCGTTGTGAGAGCAAGGAAGGTCGGTGCTGCAGCGCCTGTGAGCCGGTCCCAGAATGACGTGGCGGCTTCAAGCCAAGCATGCACACATGCCCTCGGTGGCGCTTGCGCCGTGCAGGTGGCCGTGCACATTGATGAGCGCGGCTGTATCGCGCGCTGCGACCTTCCAGCTGCTTCGGGCAGATCGTCAGCCGCGCCTGCAGTAGCGGGCGCACTTGGCGGTTGCCGCGAACTCCTGACGGGCGTCACGCAGATGCTGGAGGCGCGGGGTTGCGATTTCCCGGCCCTGTTTGCGGCCTACGACCTTGACAGAGATGGCCTATTGTGCAGGCTGGAGCTGGCTGCTCTGGTACACGATGCTATTGGACCGGCAGCTGGTGATGCCGCTGTGCGGTATTTCCAGGTGCAGCTTTGTCGGGCGGGCTGAGATGATGTGGATGGGAAACTTCACAAGCTTGCCAAAGTGGTAGTGGGTATTGGCATGCCAATGGCGTATTGAATCACCAGGCAGACCTGACCGTGCCTTTTTGCCACTCTGTGTCACAGGTCCTGCTGGATGCTGATGGCGACGGACTAGTCACTGCAGGCGACCTTTGCAGTGCAGCGCAAAGGCTGTGCGCTCACGGCGGCCCAGCTCTGCTGCTCAAGGAACGAGTGGACGTCGGGGATGCGCTGATGGTGCTGGCCAGGCACGCAGGCATGTCGTTGAACTGGCGCGCTCAGGTGCGAGCGTGCACATCCTCCCACCGCCAGCCGGGGACACAGATTTTGGGTACATGAGTTGCTCTGGCCCTACTACTGCGCTGAGGCATGTGAGGGCAACACCCCAATGGCAACCAACTTCCCAGAACAATGAGGTTGCATATATTTGCCTTGCTTAATTGTGCTGTCTTGCAGGTGCGCAGCCTGTTTTGCAAGTTTGCGGACGGCAGGGATGGCAAAGTTGGACCGGAGGCGCTTGTGCGCCTGCTCCGCAGCGAGCTCCCTCTGCTAAGCCTGAAGGAAGCCAGGTGAGGACAGCAACCGCATTTAGTGGGGCAGTGGAGGGGGGGGGCACGCTGGCCCACAAAATCCATGTCTGTCGTAGCAGAATCTGGTTCTAGTATTCGATGGCCTCACCCGCCCCTAACGCTCTACAGGCAGATCTCCCTCCACGCTGCTCGCCGCCTGGCAAACTCAGCCGACGGTCGTGTTAGCCTGCGAGAACTGCTGGCAGCCTTGGAGCCGCACCACCCTTGCAGCTGGGGTGGCAGGGCGGCGCGGCACACCAGTGCTGGCCGCAACAGCATCCCTGCAGCCAGTTGGACGTCAGCTTCTCAAAAGCACGCCCCTACGGCTGCTGCGCTGTCCAGCAGATACCGCAGCAAGGCAGCAGCCGTAGCATCACCGTCTGCACTGGAGAGCAACGGCGGCGAGCCCAACGTGCAATTGCGCATCAGGACCTGCATCGCGGAGGTGGCGACAACCCATGACGCTTGGACAGCAACAGCGTGCATGCACCACGAAGGTGCTGAGCGGGTATGCAGCAGTGTCCCTATCACGGCTTGTCGCAGCAGCAGCATCACTGGCATCGGCATCGGCATCGGCAATACGATCAGCGCCAAACAACATAGCGCCTTGGCTGTTCTGGCTGATGACCCTGCATTCTTGGAGGCCCTGGGTCAGCTGCAGGCACGGGAGTACATGCACAGCTTACAGCGAGGAGAAGGCCTGCAGGGCACTCGGCTGGCAGCAGCCGCAGCACTGCTGCTGGCAGCGGCTGCATCAGTCAAGCACCCCCCAACCCAGGAAGCACTTGCCCAGGCAAGCCAGTCTGCAGAGGCGGCGTTACAGGTGGCAAGCCGCTTGGCGACCCTGCCCCTCCTGCAGAGCGACTCTGCGCACAGCGGCAGTGATCGGTGCCCTGTCACAACTGGTGGTGCCCCTGGTGAAGGTCCAGAGGCTGGTGCAGTGCCAGAGGACAATGAAGCATCCCTGCCAGATTCGCCGATGCAGGTGGTTGGGGTTCTGCTCTCATGCCCCTTGCATGTGATGGTTGTTCGCTTTTGGAAGGGGCCTGAACAGCTCGATGAAGTGACACGCGCGGTGTCATAGCACGCGTGAGGGCAACCGTCTACCTGTGCAGTGCGTCTATAATGTCTCCATTGCAACCTTGCCACCCTCGTGCCACAGGAGCTGCTGCATACCTTGGAGAGCAGCCCTGGGCGCTTGCAAGTGGCTTTTGCTGGCCGTGCAGTCGCCAACCCACAGTCCCCGACATTCGCGCCTCAGCCACGGCACAGCTTGCTGCCCCTCGCTGAGCTGCCGGCTGTTCTGGCGGAGGCCATGCCTAGCTGGTCTGCTGGCTTGGTGGCGTACGCAGCAGTGCAGCTGTCGTGGCACGTCAATGTTGTCAGCTACACTAGCGACTCCCCCACGGTGGAAGGTCAGGCGCTGGGTGAGGCGGGCCGCCCCAGCAACATGATGTACGCCGAGATGGCCGCCTCCATCATTGCGGCCGCAGAGACTGAGGCCGCTGCAACGGATGCGCGCCTCTTGCCAGGCGCGCATCAATTTGTGGCGGCCGTGGCGCAGGCCCTCGCTAGTGCAGGCGGCAGCAGCAAGCTGCAACAGCTGTTGAGCGACGCAGAGACCCCTGCGTCAAGGTATGCCGGGGGCTTCAGCAATCGGGTACGACATGCAGTTGCAAACATCCCATGACTGTTGGGTGCGCACGGCCTCAACATGATGATATTCACGTTGCAAAACCCTACTCACAGCTACGGCCACCTCTGTCTCCTACCCTCATATGCAAGGCCGTTGCACGTGGCCAACCTCTCTGCTGTGCTGGTGGAGAGCATTAATACAAGAGGCGCACCGGCAGCCACGCAACAAATGCTTGACAACAGGCCCCGTGCATGGCTGGCGGCGGCGCTCATGGCAATTTTGGGAGCCCAGGAGGCGTTCTCAATGGAGTCTGTCGCGGCTGCGGTTGACCAACTGCACGTGATTTGTGCACAGGCTGCCTCAGCAGCAGCCTGGGACGCCACAGCCACGATCGCCACTTCAACTCCACAGCACTCCAGTGGATCAATTGGCAGCAGCATAGCTTTCCGGCGGTGGCGGGTGGGCAGCAGCTGGTCTCGAGGTAGTGGCGGAGGGGCGAGCTATGGCGGCCTAGCCCCATGGCGAGGTGCGGTGTCAGGCCACAACAGCAGTGATGCTGAGCAATACCAATCAGCATCGCGAAGCGATGTGCTTGCTCTTCTTTAGGGGATTGGTGTGTTGCAAACGACCGACGCGATCCTGTTGAGTGCGGTTCTTGCAGCCTCCCTTGCTGTCCATGGTCATGTGCAGATGATATGTGCCAAACCCAAGCAAATGATACTCATGTTTCGATGTGCAGCCCTGTACTCAGCATGTTCAACACCTCATTCAAGTTGATCAGGTGCGTGGTTCCTGAACACTGAGCACCTGTAATATCACTGCTGCAACCATACTAGGGT